ATTAATTTAATTATAATAATAATTAATTAGTTATGAGCTTGGAAAGCGTGCGCGAGTCCGACTTTTCCGTTTACTACGTTTCGTAACTGCTAACGATCCCGTAACATACTGACAACATAGAATTGGAATTAAATAATTTGAAAATAAGCAAGCAGAAAAATAATACATTGTCAATACAATGCTGATTACAAAGTCAGTACATATATTAATAATATAAAACGTTAGCTCTACAATTTATTACTTCCTACTTCTTGGTAAACAAAATAAATTTTAATTCTTGAAATATTAACAAAAAGAATATTATATATTCAATGTACTCAAGAGTACATATAATTATAAATAAATAATATCTTTATTAAAAATATAATATAAATTTACAAAATGTAAATGATAGTGGTTTTGACTTCCAAATTTTGTTTACCAAATTCATTACAGTAAAACGTATTTGTCCATAACTGTTAATAAACAAAATATAGGGGAGTATAATTGTATACAAGTATAGCTGTACTTAAAGTTATCCAAGCTGCGTGAAGTTACCTAAGCGATTTACTTATGAAAGTATATCGGTATGCGTTCGTTTTACTACATTCTGATTACACTTTGTCGCATTCATGACTTCCTGTAGTAAAAGCAGTAATCCGCGTAATAACACCATCAGATTTGTATACTTCATTTTACATTTCAAGAAATTATAGCACGCTAGTGATCTAATGCTATAATGTAGAGTAAGAAACCCGTATATGACTGGCATATCCGAAGATGGTCGTCACAATGCAATGATGAGAATATGTAATGAGATCTGTACTTTTTAAGAATCCGCATAAATAGCATCGGAAATAAGCAAAATTATTATATATGATTAATAATAATATATGTATAATTAAATACTTTTATTATTTTTTAACTTTAGTCTCTTATTACAATTGCAAATATGTGATATAAATAAAAGGATATGATAACTGGTAAGAATATTTGATATGAATATGAATATAAATCTATGTTATGTTATTTAAAAATCCAAAGGATAACTTCTTTTTTCTTTTATTATTAATTTTGAATTCATAACATCAATTATTTTTATCGAAATGAGACGAGACGAATGATTTCAGACAATATCAGGTTTGTGATATAAATAAATCTTGAATGAGCGGAAAGGGAAAACTGTGTGAGCAACTTCGGCTTCTGCCGGCGCAAAAAGTTTCTACGGGTGTAATTAAGCGAGTCGGGTGGGTAGAGAGCGGGCGTGCATAGAGTTCTAATTGCATTCGTTAGCGGCCGATTGCGATCGCATAAATAAACCTCGGGTGCGGTTTTATCGGGATTGCGCGATGACGGACTTGGTTTTACAGTCTTCCTCACCGCGCCCCGGAACCGGGTATATTTCTCTCTCTTTTTCTGTGCCGTCGCGGCCGAATATGAACAGCTATGTGGCACGACGTGAAACGCTTAGAAAGTTTAAGCTAAGCACTTTTCCCGCCGCGTGTGCTGGAAGGCTGAGAACGTTGCGCTCGTCCAGGAATGCATGTCGCTGAGGCCTGCTCCGTGCCGTTGTTCGCACGGTTGCCGTCATCGCGATTCGCCGGACTCGATATCCCGAGCATTTACTTTCGCGACTATTGACGAGGAAGTGCATCGATCCGGATAATACCGACGTACCTGCAGACCGTGAGGAAATCAGAGCCATCCTCTTCGATCCGCAGAAAAAATAGTTTTACGATCAAAATTAGACGGAATTAGGAAGAAAAAGAAAAGAAATGGAAGAAAAAGAAGACTACTTGTTTGGAATAGTCACTAATAAAATTGATCGGATTTTATGAAGAAAGAACAAATTTTGAATTGAATCTTTCTGACGATGCTCTTCATCTTCTTCTCTTAGCGAAAATGTTGAACACTTGAATGAAAAGCGACGCAGTCGACGAAAATTGGAATGGGAAATGACGTTGTCGGTGAAAATCTAAATGAAAAGCGGCGTTGTCCTTTCGGAATTACGTCTACCATGGAGGTTCAATTATGGGGATGATGTTGAACGTGGGACGTTATGCGGGCTAATGTAGTGTAATAAATCACTTAATTGAAATCACAATAGTATTGTGGTTAATTTATGGTTCGAGAGGACTAAGTGCGTTTCTCACTAATGGCTGACTTTCTTAAGTTACATCGGTTTACCGGTGGAATATTTGGTCGACATAGCAATTATTTCTGTCGACCTGATTTCGAACTTTGTAATGGGTTATAGCAAGATAGCTATCAATTTTATCCTAATAAGATATAATTCCCGTGCTTGTGAAGCTTTGTAACAGCTTCCTATCGCAGCGTTACAATTTTGATTTTGTTGTTCACTGTTACATGAATATAGCCAGTTAATTGTATATAATCTTGAAGTCTGATCCATGCATCGATGGACAGCACTTGTAACGATACGACCTGCCTATCGCAATGCTGTAAATAGAGCATGGCAAAGATGGCATCTGCCTAAAAAAATTAAGGTCATCACTTTTCGCTTTATCGTATCATTTCCAATTATCATCGTCATAAAAATTTTCATTACGACAATGTAAATCAGATTTTCGAAATTTGGTTTAATGAAAACAATATGATTAGTCATACGAGAGATATTAAATTTGACTTTCGCAAATTCACGTATTTTTAAATACGTAATTAGTAATTAGTAGATTGCATGTAATACGTAAATAGTAATTAGTAGATTGCATGTAAAATGCCGACGATACTTAGGAACACTCGCACACAAGTTAAATACATTTTTTTTATACATGACATGAAAGTCGGTGTTTAATCGTTCTCACGACGATTAAGATATCTTCAAAGAAAAGCGCTGTCCGACTCGCGTAAGTGCCACTCCCACAATCTCTCGAAATGAGGAGAGAAACCGATCTCGTCTCGTTTCGCAGCATTTAGAAATCTCATCATTATCGGCCACTTCCAGCGAGACGAGTGTCTGGGAGATCGGAAAGATTACAGAGCTCCAGCAATGACGATCACGGCGATGTTGACGGCGCGTCGCGTATCCGCGGATGAAGAAGATGATCGGAGAGAACAGTTTAATTACTCGGCCGCGACGTTAAAGCTCGTAATAATGGCGCGAGTGAAAATTAAATCGTCAGTTAAGTAGAGCGCAAAACGGTCCGAATGCTCAATAAAATTGCACGGCGCAACCCCGGAATTAGGCGCGGATGTTGCGTTGCGAGATCCGCCATCGTGCCTATCCTGCCCTGTGATTCTTTCGACTTAATTGAACCTTGATTACATCGCGGAAATCGTCTAAGCAACGATTAGAATTTATAACTCGGTGATCTCACGTGCATCGGTCTCCGAGTGAGCCGACGACCTTCGTTACTATAAACGCGACACAACGTAGAAGCATTATTCATGATGTGGATAATCGATCGAAGATCCCGGAAATGGTTTCCTTGGCGATGACACGGTCCGCCAGTAACGATAATCGAAGGTTCTAAAGCGGAAACAGAAAGCCTCACCCAACCCAAGAAATCGAGACAAAGGAATCGCTCATGCAAATGGCTCCAACCCTGACATTTCGTTCCTTAGATTTTCCTCGGTTTCTTCGAGAATCGAGAAACTCACGAAGTGCGTTTCGCAAAACGACTCACGGAACTTGGAAGCGAATTTCTAAATCCAGCGAGACAAAACGATTCCGTCGATTTCAGGACTGTCAAAAATCAACTTGGAGAGTAAACGACGGATATTGGTTATCGCGTTGATTCTAAAATAAACTTACATGTTTTCTCTCTGGATTTTTTTCTGCAATCGGTCAAACTCTGATATTCGTGTTAGCGTTATATCTGACAACGGATTTATAAACGTAACAATAAAGCAATTTTGGATGATTTAAGATTAATCTATTAAAAATCAATTTGAAAACTAAAGGTTAAATAACATGTCAATTAATTCGAAAGAAATAAAATAAATTTTCATTTCTGATTAAATCTTAATTTTTTTTAAAAATAATTTTAAAAACAATTTCTTCTAAATAATCATTTAAACTGTTATTTATTCAAATTATTCTTCGGATGTTGATTGTTTGAGAAAGATTTTTCTGTGATTACTTCTGAGCACTATAAACCACGAAATTAGAGCATTCGTAATTCATTTAATGGCTATTTTCTACGATGACGAGGGACTGGCACATCACGCAGAAACAAGTGATCTCGATTCTAAACTTAACATGAAAAAGAAATAATGAAAAAAGAATTAACATAAAAAGAATTGAAATAATCAAAGTTTATAATAAAACATAAATTATTTTTTAATATTTATTATCAGTTTTATTAGAGTATTTTTAAATCGAAGAATATTACAATTTAACAATATATTGGATAGATTATAGTAAATTATTAGATTATGACAATAGTATTTTATTGTATTTATTATTATTAAAAATAGCATAATGTTGGTAAATATCTTCACTTATTTAAGTATCAGTAAATATTAAATTAGTTTCTACCTGTACACATCTGCAAAATTCATATTTATTATAATTAATATTTCATATTTATTATATTTATTATATATTACATTAATTCATATTTTAAATAATGGTAATTGAATATTACTAAAGAGAAGATTTCCTATGTTTTATTTCATTTTTATTTTATATAATAACATTGTTTTACTAAAAAACGTCTTGAAATAATGAAAAACATATTTTCTCAGAACCTATCGGAACATGTTATTACACGAGCAGCACGTAAATGCGAAATGTTTCGCTATAATCCTATTGACATGTTTACCAATACATATTTTCAATACATTTTAACGTAACATAACGTCGAAACTGAATATTTCTCTACAAAAAAAAAAGACATGTCTAAACCGTAAATTTTAGTTAGAGAACCGACGTCCCGACGTTTGAAATATTGAACAGCCAAGCGAGGTCCCATTCAACGATTAAGGATGGATCTCCGGCAGAAGTGACCGTCGATTTTGCAGGTAGACGGACAGGTAGAAATGTGCGCATAACTCACCAGAATTTTATGTTACGGCTCGCCAGTGGGGCCTTCGGATGGTCCGCGACTCCGATAGTCCAGGATAGACGAAAACGATCGCGTCCGTTTTCGTGGCGAAATTCCGTGTTACTGAAAGCGGCCGGAACGGAGCTGCGAAACCGACGGCTTTACGACCGGTCGAAAGTACCGGCGAGCGGGCAAGCCGCACCACGGTTTCTACAACACAACTGGCTTTCGAGAATTCCCGCTTGGAATGCCTACGAGGAGGAACGGTATATGCGATACTCGACCGTGCCTACCTCGACGGAATGGAAAAGGCACGGCGAGGAGGCATCTTCGTGCCTCCACCGCCGCGCCTACGGTCACGTGCGCGTCTCTCATACATCGCACCGTAATAATTGAGATGCATCGATTGTCGTGGAGACATACTCGAAATTAAGCGGTTATTCTATCGGGATTCCTTAGAGCAGTTTTGCTCTAAGAAAATTGACAAAAGCCATTGGAAATGTATTTGAAATTTACGCAGTTTGTATATAATTTACACAGTTGTATGTGTCTTATTAAATAGTAAAGGTGTTAAGATTATCCTATGTTAGCTGTGGTTTATACGACGTGATAGAATTTCCGTCATAGTGAATCATTTACAGTTTGACGCTTTGGATAAACACGCGCTTCTCCGCACGAACGGAGCACCATGCATAAAAAGTTAAAATGTTTGATTCTTTGAAAAAAAAAAAATTAAAGAGAAAGTAGAAGACAATTAAAATTATTTATTTAATAAAATTTATATTTTTCAATATGAAAAAATAATTAGAAAGTAACTAGAAAATAACAAAATATTTACGATATGTTTTATATACATGGATGGACGAAACATAAATTAAAAAAATTGCAACACAAATAATGAAATCCAATTGCGGGGTATTGCTTCTGGCATTCGTGATTTTGTAACTTCGCATTGAGAAGTTATGTAAAGTAAGAAGCTATGCTATGAAGAATAAAGTCACAGAAGTGTGGAATGTGTAAGAAATATTTTCTGCTGTATACATTTCCTGACGGATTCCTCGATCATTAATCATCAACTGTTTGTTATTCGCGCGCTTTGAAGTTATAAAAAATTTATATTTGTCATATTATTTTTGCATTCTAGATTATTTGCGCTGATATATTTAAGTCAATATAAAAATATATTAATGGTTATAGCATCACATAATTGTTGCTGATTATTCATTTAAATAAATTTTACTAAGCAACATTAAGCGATTTAAAGAGAGACAGAATATTCGCATGATCTTATATATAAAAATTAATTATATGTATTTTTAATTCAATACTTATTAAGCTAATTAAAGATAAAATTAATGTACATATTTATGTGAAATTGGAAAAATAAAATATGCAATACTTGATACATATAATGATATATTTTATATTATAAAAGAAGAATATTCTCAAATTTAATTATGAAGGATTTTGCATAACTTTACAAAAATTTGTCTCCATGAATCGACATTTATTATGTCAGAGATACGATCTTTGTCACCGTAGACGTAATATGATCTAATCTATCCATAGCGTGCCACTTGACTGTGAGAAGTAATTATCATTTCATAGATCATGTGTAACACAATTACATAAATGGGAAACGGGCCCACGAGATTGCACAGATGTAAACAATTGTATAGATTCTTCTCATAAAGAGTAAGTAGTCATTAAGTTTATTGACATGCAATGCATGACATAATATATAATCCAGATACATATTTTATGCGCATTATTTTTAACTACACACAGATTTTTTGGTCAAAACTGAAATAATTTTTTTAACAAAAATAGATATAATATTTGAATTATTAATGAATGACGTAAAGTTTTCTTTTGCTAAATAATTATTAGAAAATCAAATAAATTGCAAAATTACAACAAATGTGAACTAAATTTAAATAATTTTAATAAATTTTATTAAATGTTTAACAAAATTGAAATTTAAATAAAATAGTTTTAATAACATTTTAATTTGGTTCCTTTTAATCACATAGATGATACAGATTGAGAAGTTAATATGATGATTTTCCTTAATATTTTTGTTAAGAAAAAAATATTCAAAAATAAGTGAAAGTATATATATTTTATTAGGAGATTCTTTCGTTCTTCCAGTTATAGGCATAAAGATAACTATTTGTCCAGACAACCGACAGGAAATCGTGCGTAGCAAATGCTGCAGCTAATCTTTGCAATTCATCCCGCAGAAAAATTCCAAAAGGGATTCACTATGGCATTAATGGAAATGTGGGATTATTTGAAATTGCGTAAATCACACCAAGCTCGTTGAAGCGTAGTAACGTGCATTGGTAACGGGAGGAGTTCGGATAATCTCTTGATCGTTCTCGTGAGAGCTAGAGTGCGTTCAATCTCGCAAGAGCTCTCGCTCCCTCTCTTTCTCCCTCTCTCTCTTTCTCTGCTCCCAGAATGAGGATTATTTTTATGATTATGCACCCCGCGCCGTTACTCGTTAACCGCGCAGGGTATTTCAGATGAAGGCCGATGCGAAAGTACGCTTTAGCGAGCTATGACGGTCGGCTAATTAGCGAAATAAATTTTCGAGTAATAACATTGAAATAAAATCACGTAGGAACGGAGCGCACGTTAGCGAATGTAACGCAAATCCGATATTTACAATATTGCCGGCTATTCGGTGGCTCTCCAATACGAATTATTATTATGTAATTTGATCTTCTGCTCATCATCTATTCAATACAAAATGCCGATATTAATAATCATTTACAGATATCAATTCTTAAAAATATTTTAAATATATTTAATGTTCTCTTTTAATCTTCTTAATATTAATAACGCCATACAAAATCTTGATCGTATTGATCACACATATAGATGCATGTAAACGTATAAGATATTGATAATTACAAAATTTATACCAGTATTTAATTTAATCGTTTTTAAGCAATTTCTAATTAAATTTTGGTAAATATTAAAAATTTTCAAAAATGTCTTAAAAAATTACACACATAACATACGTGTTTAAACATTGTTAATATTTTATTTTATTATTACTATTATATCAAAATTGTAATAAAAATTAGATTAATAAAAATTGCATTTTTTAAAACAGTAATAATCAATTTTTTGATCAAATTATTCCAAATCTGTATACATATGTATATGTTTAGATACATTCTCTGTCTAGTCATGCAGCAATTTTTCGATACATTTGCTTTTTCCATATCGATATGATATTTCCTTTTTATAAAATTCCAATTTTGTAGATAAATAAATTTCATAGATTTGAAAGCATACAATTTTGTTATTTCAGTAAAATTCAAAATTTTCCTGCAAACAAATAACTGTAAGTATAAAGAATAAGAAAAAAATTAGATTTTTAAGTTATAAATTATCACTTGAGATTGAATTAAACTCAATATCTATAATTTGAATCTTTTACAAACATTAAGAGAATGTAACAAGCGTAACTTTTACAAATAGTTAAACAAAAAATCGACGATGAAAAAATTAACCAATATGAAGTGTAGATTATATAGTTAACTTGATTTGATTGCGGTATGCCATAAACCATTCAATGTGTAAAAATGCAATTTTAATTGCGATATTTTTTAACGATCAGGATGAGATATACGATCATAAAAGATGATCGCATTGAAAACTGCGGAATGACGCGACTACATGGTGCATTAATGACTGCAAATTGTGAAACGTGTTTCTCATTCCATTCAGGTAATCTATGGTTGTTACATCTCTCGCGAAGCTCTCTACAAAATTGTGGTCTGCAATGACCTACATACTACTCAATCGATTCATTTTCTTTCAACCGCGTTTGGTTTGTATATTATGTGCTTCTCGTGATATATAAAATGCGTTGGATAATGTGGAAAATGCTCATACGTAAAATGGAGACGATCGAACGTTATTTATGAAAGATTGTATGGCGGTTTCAAATATCCCATTAATATTTATAACGATATGTAATAAATACTTGCGTTATCATAAATGCCTCTTTGTTTTCATCGCCGATGTGTGATACGCAATTTACTTGACTGAATTTTAGTCACGTCTAGTGTGCCACTTTAATGTGTGCCAATGGTGTATGGTGGTATAAAATATTTGTCTCGTATGGGTTCTGCATATTAATGAGACAAAAACGTGTTTGCACGTGGAATCCATATCGACACCATACGTAGAGAAGCACTATTTCATATTTTGTCAAGCATCGTATCAATAAATTTAAATGTATAAAATATTAAATTAAAATAATATTTACAATTCTTTTTAAATAATTTTATGAATAGAATACGTATTATATTAAAAATCACTTAATTTTATAATTTATATAATTTTAAAAAATGTTTGTTTCAAAAAAAATAAAGTTATGATTAGAAATAAGAAACAGCTAAAATAAACATAGCAGAAATTACAGAAATGTGTGTGTGTGTGCGCGCGCGCGCGCGCGCGCGTGTGTGTGTGTGTGTGTGTGTGTGTATGTATAAGAATTATTTTTTTTTCATTGAAACAATATTTAATCTAGCCAAAGTATTATTTAGTTCAAAGATAAATTTTATTTTCTTTAATATTTTCTTTTATTTTCTTTAATAATGCTTTTTTCTCTTAAACAACATGATATTTTTTAACGAAACAATAAATCTTTTAATTCAGCCAAATAATATTTAATATAAAATTATGTTGTTTAAATTAAATAAATTCAAATCAAACAAATAGAATTGCTAAATCTAAAGAAACCTTTTTCTCAGTGTATAAATATCTATTATTAAAAATGATTCTCATCTCATTGTATTGAATCTTGTCTAATTGAATTTGGCGCTTAAATGTCACGTGGTCAACATGTATCAAGGCAACGTTGCATGCAGTGTTGCCTTTCATTTAAAGCTCTTCTCACGCAGTAGGTTTCTCGTCCATTTTCTTCCGGCATCTCGACGTGTGAGGTTGATTACGTTCCTGGTAAGCATTTCTTGTTGCTCCACTTGCTAATATTACACGAATTCTTTTTAAAATAATAAGTTTCGTGTTAAATTAAATTAGATCGATTTGATTATAAAATCGGAAAGAAAGAAAAATGAATAAATCTATCAGAGATGCTATATCAAATGTGGAACACGTGGCGAAGCGGCTCACGCCAGAGGAAATCGATAAAATGAAGGCACAGGATTCTCGCCTAGTATCTGAATTTCGTGCAAATCAGCTCGAGAAAGACGCGAAAAAGCACTGGGATTTATTCTACAAACGAAATGATACAAGATTTTTCAAAGATAGACATTGGACCACGCGAGAATTTGATGAGTTACTAGGTTTGGGCGGCAACGACGGTCAAAATGTCCTTCTCGAGGTGGGATGTGGAGTCGGAAATTTCGTTTATCCATTGATAGGAGATGGATTGAAATTTCAAAAAATATTCGCGTGTGATTTATCCCCGAGAGCGATTGAGTTGTTTAAGGTATATTTGTTGGGTCAGTTGTAAATTAGTGGAATTTGCGTATTGGTGTGTTAATTGGCGTTTACTTGTAGAATCACACATTATTCCATCCGGAAACAATGAAAGCTTTTCAAACGGATATTACATTAGAAAATTGTTTCGCTGAAATTAATTGTCCAGTTGATGTTACAACTCTCATCTTTGTATTATCAGCTATTCATCCTGATAAATTTTACAAGTATGTTAAATAACAAAATTATTGATTCTATTGTTGAATAAAAATACTATGAATACTAAAAATGAAGTTTTGATATTGTTAATTATTTTAAGATAATTTAGTAATTATTATAGATACTAATATTAAATTTGCAATTACTCATGTCACTAATTGTCTCATGTATTTAATAGAGTTGCCCAAAATATGTACGACGTTCTTGGCAATGGAGGAATCTTACTTTTTAGAGATTATGGGTTGTATGATATGGCACAATTGCGGTTTAAACCTGGACACAAGATTAGTGAGAATTTCTATATGCGGCAAGATGGAACCAGGTGATTTTATATTTTTTTGCTATATTTTTGCTAATCTGTTTAAACAAAATGATATGATGTTTTCATAGTTCAATTGATTCATAATGAAATAAGATCTTTTGGTATCTGATTTTACCAGATAATGCAAGTCTATCTCATTATCTTAGTACATATTAACAACAGTATATTCTTTAAATTTTCAGGAGTTATTATTTTTCTGTAGAACAAATAGTAAATTTATTTGAATCTGTTGGTTTTCATACACTGAATTGTGACTACATAAAAAGACGTACGATAAATGTAAAGGAAAACATTGATGTTCCAAGAATCTTTGTTCAGGCAAAGTTCAAGAAATCTTGAATATGTAATAATACAAAGGTAAGTTTATTTCTAATATAATTATAAATATTATAAATAATTTAGATGATAAATCATTTTCATTTTGTTTATTCTGAATTTTTAAAAGAAATTCTTTATAATTTTTATATTTTAAATATAATAATATGTAATAATTTTTTCCAATTATTTCTATTTTCCATTGTTTATTAGTATTTTAATGATGATATAGTTAACCGATTGATAACGAAATTTCTGCAGTAATGATTATGTTATTAATAAAATTGTATTTGTTTTGTTAATTATAAATTTTGATTTCTTATTACAGATATTATAATTCAGTAACACTTTATGATGAACTATATAGGATTGAAATAAAAATGACAGATTATGTGAAAAATGTATTATACATGATTTAATGCACGTAATCGAAAAACGACATAGTCGACATTTAAGGTATATATATTTTTAGAAATTTTTTTTATAATGTATATAATTGTTATGATGATTCCATAGTTCAACTGATAGAACTATGATGATAATTTATATTTTATAGTCTTTCGCTCCTATCTGATATTTATATATTTTTATACTTTTATTGACATATTAAGTCATAAATCTGTAAAAGCAATATTGTTTTTTATATTTTAGACATATTACTATCAGACTATGGATATAGACTACCAGCTGGAAGGAGGAAATCTTCCTTAAATATATTGTAAGTTGAAAAATGATCATCGACATTTAAGATATATACATTTTATATATTAATTTTTTATGTGTATAATTATTATGATGATTCCATAGTTCAACTGATAGAACTATGATGATAATTTATATTTTTATAGTCTTTCGCTCCTATCTGATATTTATATATCTTTATACTTTTATTGACATATTAAGTCATAAATCTGTAAAAGCAATATTGTTTTTTATATTTTAGACATATTACTATCAGACTATGGATATAGACTACCAGCTGGAAGGAGGAAATCTTCCCTTAAATATATTGTAAGTTGAAAAATGATCATCGACATTTAAGATATATACATTTTTATATATTAATTTTTTTATGTGTATAATTATTATGATGATTCCATAGTTCAACTGATAGAACTATGATGATAATTTAATTTTATAGTCTTTCGCTCCTATCTGACATTTATATATTTTTATACCTTTATTGACTCTTGTGCTTTTATAAAGTCAAATCTATAAAAGCAATACTGTTTTTTGTACTTCAGATATGTTATCAGATGGAATGATTAAAAGACTGGAAAAAGAAAATCTTCCTTAAATATACTGTAAGTTTATATAACTTTTAGATTCTTCATTTATTTAATATTTTTCTGTGATGTATATTCTTATGCATATAGAAGAATAACCATGATATTTCTATAATTCGTCACTACCACTGAGTGAAAAGTAAAAATCAATATGCATGTTGAATTATTAAATAATTATAAACAAATTTTATATTTATTACAGAAAGAATTAGAATGATGAATGGCTTTGTGTAGGAATGATTGACTCATAATCAGATGTTCCGATTCACTCTTGTGAACTCTGTTTATTTGTTTATAAGGGATTGATTAACGAATGAAGTTTTAAGTGAAAGATGATTCTATTCATTCCGAGAACAAATTTATCTTTATACATATTACGGAAAAAAAAATCATGATTTTAAATATTATAGATAATATGATATTAAGAAAAATATAGAATATGTATACAAGTAAGTTTAATTGGATTGCAATCGATGCATTTTTTAAGTAAATATTTATGATGATTTATCACCATCTTTCGTATGAATCATTGTGATTTTTCTTTATTAAATCTGACGTATAATTTTATCCTTAATTTTATAATATTAATTGACCTGATATGAATTAATATGGATTGCTTTGTTGATAGGTATTTTTTTATTGGGATATAATTAGGGAAGAAATTTTGTACATATGGTAAGTTTAAACAATCACAAATCAAGAATTTGTAATCTATATGTATATATTTAATGATGATTTTACACCATCTTTCGTATGATTTGGTGATGATTAATCGTTATTAGCTCTATCTGATATCTAATTTCTTTTATGAATTTATTATATTTACAAATTTTCTAGTTTTATAAACAATGAATTATTTAATTTTTTAGCAAGTTGGTGTACATATGACATATATGAATATTATATATGCATATTTCAAGGAAAATTTATATTAAAACATTGTTTTTACAAAAATTTTGTGAATAAAATTTTATTGTTATATGTTGCATTAATATTTATTCTTCAATATCTTAAGCATGATCTATTTCTTTATATCCATTCTTATTCATATCATTCATGATGATAAGGCGATGCTGAACTGACGAATAAACTCCGTCAAGCGTTCGCACATGGACAACTAACATAGATACATTTATGTATACATACATATATTTCGGTACACATAAACCTACCTTCTAAACTTCGCATAAATGATAGTGTACCAGCATTCAGATATTACTTCTTTTTTCATTTCTCCTATAAGCTCTCCCAAGTCATGTTTTGGAAGTCTTAAAATATTCTTATGTATTAAATATGGATAGATAGTTTCTGTTTGAATATATTCACTTGATCTTATTTATAGTGAATAAGTGGTTTAGGTAATAACAAGACTTGAATTTAGAAATTTTCCTTGTTCTTTCATGTTTTAGCTGTTTAGCTGCCCATATTTATTTTGATATTTTCTCTTATTTTGAAAAAAGATTTTTTCAAATTAAAGAAAGTGAAAAAATTAGAGAAATATGTTCAGTCTGTAAACAGATAAGTTCATCATTCTCTAAGGAGATTAAAGGAGATCAAATTGTCTTGAATTATAGTTTAATCCATTTTTGAGCCGAATAAACATATGAAAGCAAACTTAAATGATATTTATACCACTATATGAAAAAAATTATTCTTTTATATAAAATTGATATACATATACAAAATGTACAATTAAAATATATAGTTATTTAGTTATATAGTTATATAGTTTTTTATAGTTTTATATAGTTATATAGTTTTTTTTAAACAATTTTGCAATCGCAACTAAACTTGCTTTTGCAAAATTGGTGCATTAAAATGTATAAAATATTTGCAATTATTGTTTGAACCTCTGTAAAAGATAATCGATAAAAATGAAGAAAATGATGGGCATTAAATAAAAATCACAATTCTATTTTTATATTAATTTATATTTATAGTTAGAAATATTGGTTGGACTAAAAACAGATTTACAAAATTGTATTTTTTTTAGTTTTCTGTCTGTTTTCTTTTGATATTATTGTTATTTAACGTTTACTATATTTATACGACGCTTATACGACATTATGAAGTGTTTATCTTTTTCATTACAGCTATTCTGTCGAGTATTGATATTTAATGCTTTAAATAACGAAAGAATCGCATGATTATTATTAAATATTACTATTGCTAAATAAATTAAAATTTCAACAATTTTAATTTCACTGAATATAGTTTTAAATATCGACATCTTATTGAAATTTTTATTTAAATTTTGAGATTCACCCAGCATCAAAAAAAACATCCACTCAATATTGTTAATATTGTTTTAAGATATTTACAATTTATATTTATATTAAGTTAATATAAAGTTAATACAAGGATACATATGAAAGATCTTTTTATTATTTATTGCAAAAATAACCACATTAATTTTTTAATTATTGGCATATTATTATTTAATTATTAAATTATAATTAAAATTTGCGGATTTAATAATACAGTAAATTAAGTTTTTGTCATTTGTATTGTAATTGACTTTTCATTGGCTACATACATAATTTGTTAAATGTAGTTAATTGTTTTTGACATATAAATTAATTATTAGATGTATCGTAGCGCAGTTATATTACCATTCAATTGTAAGTATAACATGTTAATAAAATGTTACGAAGGTATTATCAAAAATCATAATCAACTGGTTCTTCTGAATATAGAATAATACAGTAACAATGATGATAACCTAATTTGGAATTATAACAACAATGTCGTTATACACACACAAATTATATACAGTTATAAATTTAGAAAACGAAACGAGAGTGAAAATTAATAATGATCAATATCAAAGATAAGTAATAAAAAAAGGAACTATTACATAAGTATGCATGTAAAAGAAAAGAAAAAATCGTATAAATTAATACGAACTTGCTCAGCAACAGCTTCGCTGTTTTTTCAGAATATCAAATATCCAAATCTATTGACATCTCTACTATATACTATGTACACTGTACGCATTTCAATTTCTTACAATTTCTTACACATTTTTCTCATATTAGATACGCATACGCCAGATTTTTTATAGTTTATAGCAAATATTATCTAAAAATATTTAGGGAAAAATTATATTCTTAAAATCTAAATATTTATAGAGTAAATATATATATATATATATTCCGAGTTATTAATTATTAAAAATCGCCGAATGAGCGCGTACCTGCCCGGTCCATTGGCGAATGCACGCAGACAAGACGAGATGCGATCGCTCAATCTTACAGCTTTCGTGATTATTAGGCGAGATGTTTACATGTGGGTTCCACGACTGACAGAACATTTGCTCATAGTGCACACTTCCATACATTCGTCGCGTTCCTGTCAACCGCGTAACGCTAAACGGTCACATCTCGCGCTTGGTATTTGTCAGTAGACCAGGCAGATACATACTTATTCGGCGATATTTAGTAATTAATAGCTCATTATTAATTGTGAAAATCGTAAAATGGTAAATGACTTTTCTGCTCATTTTGATCTCTCTACTTGCACGTTATCATTTTGAATAAAATATCCTGTATATAAGTAATATAAAATATTATTTTTATTTTAATTGAATTATCGTGTTATCGTTTTCTTTATTTTCAAAAGCAATATCACAAATTTATTTTAAAAGTACAAAGAATAAATTGAGATAATGAGATTTTTTACGAAACGCTATTATAATAATAAAAATTGCATATCCAGTAAATACTAATTATCTTGCTGTACTGATACAGCAAGATAAGCTCATTTGTTGTATTATTATTTATTTATTTAACATTTAACATTTATATAACATAATATCCTCATGATTATAAGTGAATAACATTAAAAATAATTATATAAGTTGTTAAAATTAAATATGATGCATGTTACTATGTACTAAATAGACAACCAATTAGATTTCTAAATTATCGAGACATTTCACACACTCCTTTTCATCAATTAAATAAATTAATATCCCGTTCTAATTAATTTTGTTCTGACAAGATGTTTGCAAGCAACACAGGAGATTTCATTTCCACATTTATTCCGCTTGTATAATTTACGACTAGTAGTAAATTTGTAGTTAATGGTAAAGAATTAATTAGCAGCAAAGAATCATTCAGATTAAATCAATCGAAAAAGAACTTTTTTAATTATTCTTAATTAATGCAATAAGATATGCAATACGACGAGGTCACGTCTTGTGTACAACATAAATTAGTTAAGGAAATATCAAAGAGAGAAATTACTTATGCAATATCCTGCATTGCATAATAATAATATAAATGATATGGAAATTGTATGTTTTAGAATATTTCACATTCTTTTACTTTACATATATATATATATATATATATATATATATATATATATTATTTTGCAAAGCGCAACAATAAAAGCAAATAAAATTATGCGAAGACGAAAAATGTGGATAAAAAATTGGGAAGAAATATGATGCTTAATTTTGCACTCTTAATGTGTTGGAATCATTTCCATGTTTATAGGGCTATAAAATATTGCAGTAAAAGTGATCTGCCTAATATTAATCGTTATTTTATGCAAATGCGTGATTTTTGTTGATGTTGATGTATAAATTTTAATTTTAATAAAATGCAATGTCGACGTCGAAAAAGATATTTTAGTTCGAATATTGGGGTCATGAGACTGATCACTCTAATTTAGAAATGCAATAATGTGGCGTCATCATCAAAAATATCAAGAGTCTTTTTTTAATTGATTCGTGGACTGACTAGTATCCTTGATCTTTTCTGGAAGAATATTTAATTCGTTGTAGGTAGAACCAGAATTTAAAATAAATTACGATGTTGTTGGAAATAATTAGGGGATAAAATATGATTACAATATTTTTCATCAGTTTCTAACGATTTAATAAATGGTAAATTTAATGCAACAATAAACTTTTCCAAGACAAATTCTAAGCTCGAGTTTAATTTTAATAGGAATAATGTCTATGTATGCATTTCATCACAATATTTTCTTGCATAAAATAATACATTCTTGAAAATATTTTATGTGAAACTATATGCTCAGTTTATATTTATTTATTATGAGTTACTAATTAGTTAGTATAAATGTTTGCCAACAGAAGCTAGTCCAAGCAAAGCGGTTTCAAACTGAAACAAATTCGTTTTAATTAATTAAATTTGTGTATGTTAACTGAATATTTAATTAGCTTTTGCAAATGTAAATATGAGCAACCGTATAACAAAATTTACATTTCTATAATAATTGTAGTTAGCACCGTACAGACACTTTTGTCAAGGTTTCAAGGATTAATAATTTGTTGCATCCAATAAGGTCGCATTATTTAAGAATACTAAATAAGTTGCACATATTTTTAAGAATGATTTTAATGAAAACGATATTTTGTAACATTTTTAGATTTTGCTTTTAGCACTTTATTTCATCGAGCATAATTAAGAAATCACTGGAATAACCTAAAAGCGTTCCATAAACATATACCCATGGCTGAAAAGATGTCACAAGGTAAATCAACTGTCGGATATAATAAATTAACTTTATATAATATCAAAATTGACTATATATTCTATTTTAATTTCCCCTTTTAATTATGTATATAATCCAAATCATTCGTGATCAATAAAGCAATATGTGATAGAATTATATTTGTAATACATCAATTAGTTCTTTGAATAAAATAGTTTTTTGAATCTTATCAATGAATACAATAATTTCAATTTTTTATTCTTTGCATAATATAATAATAAAATTCTTAAAGTAAAACTATGTTATTATTACGTAAAGTTGTTATTTATAAAAATAGTCAAAATAAAATATGGAAGTAAACAAAAATTTTAATATTTAAAACTTAAAAATATTATTTTATATTTTATCACTTGCAATGTATTCATAAAGACGATTTATGAGTAATATTATTATACTTAAATTTAAAATTTTATATATTATCATTTTATATATCACATAAAATCATTTTATCGAAGAAATTATATGTATGTATGTATATGACATGTGGATAAGATAAATATTAAAATATGCGGAAGTATTAAAATATATATAATATAAAATATATGGGATTTTTTATTTTGAGATTTGATTGCGAAAATCATAAATCGTCGAAACATTCTTAATTGGCTGAATATGCAAAATTTAATTACGTGTTAAGGAACTCCTAATGTGCATCTTAAAAACAAATACGATACAAATACGAGCGGTAATAATCATGTCACTGTTATAAAACACTTTCCTCTGTATTTGGCGAGTTGCCAAGGTCCCTTGCTTCACTCGAGTTCCATCTTTATCGAAGGTACGCGGATACATCGCGGAATACGTGAATGCGATGCCTTGCCGGATCTCGCCGTCGGCGACAACGACAACGATGGTGACACCACGGCACGGTCACGAATTACATATGAGAAGGTATAAACAATACGCGCCGTATAACAACCCCATACAACAGTCGCAGACACACGCAGGAAACGCACACATAGGCATACGCACAAATTGCGTGCGTCCTCGTGCATTGATCAATCGGCTAGTGACGCATGCAGAACGCTCGGATCATCGGGTATATAAGCAATCCGCCAAAAAGCAGAGGCATCATTCAGTTTCTGTCCATCAGCAGCTGATCTTTCAAAAGCAATCAACCATGAAGTGCTTGGTGAGTATATCAAGAGATCTGTCTCCGATATTTTTGCTTGTACATCCGCTGATATTGTCGAATAAAGCCATTATTGAGACAAATTGCTTCACAATTCATAATCTTCTGCATTTTGGATGATCAATCAAGTTTCGGTACATTCATACGTGTCACATGAAATATTTTGATAGATTTTCCACGGTAATTCAGTTGCCAATCATGATACGCAGATTATAGCCTAATTACTGCATTACCGCGATTATCTGTAAACCGATCGGCTTGATCAGTTGTATGTTCGGATTCGAGATCAAATCATGGTGCTTATCATCGCGTAATATCATAATATTCTAGTATTATTCCTATAATTAATTATCAGAGAGGACTTCCTTTACTTTAAAATAGCGGAGAGATGGTTTTTTCCTTCTATTTTTATATTTGCAGCCATTTAATATAATAATAATATAAACCTGAAATATATTTAAAAGCCTGCTAAACATTTCCAAACTTTTTAGAATTGCAAATTGTATCTTCATTTAGCCTGCATCTCTTCACTCTCCTCTCTAACCCTATTTAACATAACTACGTTCTCATATCATTTAAATATATTTACACATTATTTCATTTGCGAACGCGAGTAATGTTGCGAACATATCAGTGAGTGTAATGTAAAATCTTATTAAGCATTTATTACAACATTTAAATTCTACTATTACATATAAAATTGTACTATTTTCTTACATGTCACATTGTATATTAATAAGAAGTGCAATTACTTCAGCTTATCTAGCATCGTTCATGAGATATTACATTTTCTAATACCTTACAGTAAATTAATGTTATTACAAAATATATTTATTTAGTTTTTCTTACGGTTTTTTTATTTATATGAGAGTCAAAAGAAATTTAATTTCTATTTTATACCATATTTGATCAAAACGTCGGATTAATTAAATTATTTATATTTCAGGCTATCCTTCTTTTGGCTCTCGTTGCCGTCGTCATGGCGCTCGAGAAGACACCCGAAGTTGAACAGACAAAGGAGGTCACCCCTAGAGACAAGAGAGGTCTTTATTCTGGCGTTTATTCACCATATTCGTATGGTTATGGCGGATATGCACCACTGACGTACAACAGCTTGCCGTACACCTACACTTACCCGTACGCTTATCCGTACGCTTACAACCACTACCGCTATCCTTACCATTACCCCTATTACAACCATCCCGTTTACTACTAATTTGAGAAGCGGAATCCACGATAATTTGGGATTAAGACAGGCTCAGGACGAAAACATCATGGAAATTTAAGAAGAGTTTTACTCTCGAATTGTCGCATTCACAAAGTCTATCCCGAAACTCATGGCAGTCAATGTGAACACTTGTGAGCTCTTTGACTGTCGACTTTTTTTCTTATGCTTATTTTAATAATAAAATTTAATAATAAAGTATGCTACATATAAACAAAATATGTTTTTTTTTGACATGTTAATTTTAGTCTTCTCTTGTCGTTCTTCCGAAATTTGAAATGTAATTTTCTGAATTTTACCGAAATAATCGCGCATATGCAATAAGTTATTAACTGCAAACTTTTTCATTATAATTTGCAAAAGCAATGTTGTAAATAAGAAAATAAGAAAAAATAAGTAATGGTTTATTGCAATTTGATAATTTTTGATAGAATATTTGTATTGTTTTTAATTTGTAATTAATTTTTAATTTAATAATGTTGTATTCTTAAGCTGTCGGAAGAGTTTATTAAAGAACTCGTTATCGTTTATTTTACATACGAGATACACTACGAGATAAATAACTCGCGATAATTGCGATGGATAATTAACAGAAGAGCATTGCGAATTTTAATGACTGCCAAAGCGCATTAATTCGGACCCAATTTGTGTAACTGCAGAGCGCACGCACATCCGTGTTGTAAATAAATTAATGGCAAAGGCCATTTTCGTAATGAAATCTAGCGAGTTCATCGTGCATACATTTGCGGTTTCGTGTTTCATATCAATGCATAATGTATGATCAATAGTACGAATTTTCAGACACGATGCAAAAAGATGTCGAGCGAAATCGATTTGGCATTAAGACATCGAATCTGCAACGAAATAAGTTGAAACTCGTAAAAGCATATGTGGTATTAGCTTCGTTATATTCTGATGCAAATGTTGGCATCGATTTCATTAATATAATATATAATTTTCATTAAAATACTTATCTAAATAGCAAAAAAATTAGAAATGCAATTTTTCTGTTAATCTTAGAATTCAAAGGGAATTGTTTGTTTCAATAATTGAAGCATTCTTTTGTAGCTGTAAAGAATTTACAGAAATTTATATAATCTCTAATCAATAAAATATAGAAGATTGATTTTTATGTGTAATGTTTTGTCTATTAAAATTAACTGATATTTTCCTGACAATATAAATGTATATTTGATAATATATTTTTTATATAAATATTTTTATTGAAAATTGTACTTGTATAACAAGAAGTTTATTATTTTTAAAATGACACAAAATTCGGAGCTTTATAAATTTTAATATTTCTTAAAGCAATATTACTTGACATATCTTCAATGGTTATTATAAAAGTCGTTTAGAATTGATCTAATCAAAAACATTTTAAGGATTGTCCAAAAATTGTACAAGGAATTAGATCATTTCACTACAGCCCATTTACAACGTGTTTCAACGTGTGAATCTGCGATCACACATCTTCGCTACATAATTAAGTCACATTTTGACTTCCAAATGTCGTCTGTTTATGGATTCCGCTGTCGAAGAAGGTCGACGAGCTCGGCGTTATCCAATCCCGATTTCTGTTTCGCGCGACATCACTTCGCGTAACATGCGCGAGCGATCGGAATACTTCATCCAACGCGTCGGAACCGACGCGGCGTGCTGATTTACGCGTAATCGGCGCGCGTTACACAATACGAATATGCATATCCCTACGAGTGGGAGCGCTTATTCCGTATTCTCCGAGACTTGAGACTTGGTCCGCTCCCCTTGACTTTCACTGGGAGACTCGAGGGAGAGGAGACCCGGGCAAGCGTGACCGGAATTTCACGTCGGAGTTGTCCGTTGCGTTTCGCGCGACATCCCCGCCGTGACCTCGTCGGAAGTTCACGACGGCGCTCGTTTCCTCTGCCGCCTTGCATTTCTCTCTATTGAGGACATAATTTACTAACGGTGAGAGGATACGAGCGCGTGGAGTGATAGATGCAAGTTTCGACTTTTTATATTTATTACTTTAAACATTGCATTATACTTGTGCATTTCGTCTTGATTGATGAAGAGCTCTAACGGGCTTTTCTCTTTATCGTGAAAAAGACGCGTTTGTATCTTTCGTTAAAAGCAAGTATTGCGATATTTTTTAAGTGCCTCTCCTATGCCTTCTAATAGGCCTTTAACAGACTTTTAGCTGCGCTTCGTTATTTCTTTTCGTCGCGTACATTCATTGGTAAAAGTTTCCAAGAGGACGAGATGCGTTTTTTTCTAAGTGCCACTAAATTATGTGCGAGATCATTAGTTCTTTCAAAGAGCGCATCTTTTGATTCAATTTACATGCTTTTTAAAGGATACACTGTGCGCTTAGCTTTAACAAATACATACGTGTTACGAGAAAGTATAAATTATTACAGTATAGTTGTATAGTCTTCTTCGTTAGCAAAATTTTCTTTATTTAAGATGTGCTTTATTCTTAAAAAAAAGAAACAATCGTATATTTGTATTTATATTTATGATGATCACGTTAACAGGAATAACAGATTTCGGTAAGAGGCAACGAAATTTCGATTACAGGACCGCGTCGAATATACAATGTACTTTGCATCGATATGTATAACATCACGAATCCGTAACAGTATTGCTTAAGCTCGATCGATGAAAGCCCGTAAGAAAGTCTATTGTAATTCGTGGATGGTCGCGACCCGATTGTATTTATACATGTGCTGGTATGGCTGTAGACTTAGTCGTCGTGGACTTGTCCATCCTCAAACAAATTAGTTTCTTGGTTCAGTCTAATTCAATGTCGAGGCCCCGTGGGAAATAGCGCAGTTTCTTGTTGGAGAAGACAATTGGATCACTTCAGTACAGTGTTAAGTGCGAGAGGGATTACTCGAATTTAAAAATGCGACTAATTCTGGTAAGTATGTAACATTAAAACTTTCTTTAATATGATTATTTCGTTGCTTATCTACACGTACAAAAAATTCAATCTTCTTATAAAAATTTTTTAGAACTATTGAAAAATATCAATGAAGATTTGATTTCTATTTAAAAAGTAAAGTTTTATTAACTTCTTATTTCATATATAAATTTATTGTCAAAAAGCTTTTATAATATATATATATATATATATATATATAATAGACAATTTGTATTTTATAAGTAAATAATGAATAATATATAAAGAATATGATTATCTATTTCTATTACTCTCTTTACATTATCTAATTTTTTAACACACACTCACACACACACACACACACACACACCTGTCAAAGTGATCTTCGCGATGACAGCCATTCATCAAAACGCATTGAGAGAATCAATCAGTATCGCGGAAGAGGCAAATAATAAATTCCGAAAAATGCGAATAATCGCTTTTACATGTCTTTTTTAAAAGTAGATTTATTTTTTATAAAATTAAGTTAAAATATATTTATTTTGCTTTATCTGTATTTTTATTTTTATATCATGTTATTATGTTATTTTTGTACAAAATACTGATTTATTCTTAGGTCTTCTATGTTCTCGTACGGATACTTTCGATGACCCAAGCTAAGCAGAAAGCCGAAGTGCAAAAGCCAGAAGTCACGAAATTGGAAGTCGTAAACCTCGGCGAGGTCGAAGTTGAGTCCGATTTTGAACAATCCGATGTTCAGCGAAAACGAGATTCCGGATATACATATAATAGGCCGAATCGTGTTTCTTCGAACGCTCGGTTTCGCATACAAACGCATCCATCTAAAGGTCAAATCATATTCAAAGTCCCTGGTCAGTTAAATAGACCGTTCACAAAATATGGACCACCGAGTCATTCGACTTCTGGTCCAGCCACACATGGATATCGTACTCAACAGCATCGGAACAAATTGCAGCATCATGTCAGTCAGCAGCAGTCAATTGGTGGAACAGGACTACTGGAACAAGAAGTACCGAGCCCGATCAGAAACGCCGATTTCACAGAGATAAATCCAATCGCTAGTCAAAATAATGAACCATTTGGCATGCATACTGCTAATTATTTACCACCGCAAAATCAGAAACTGCCGACTTATTCCTCGACGAACAATTTTGATCCACAAAGCACTCCAATTCAAGAGCAGATTTACAATACAAATTTGCAGAGTCAAAACTTGATACAGACTCCGAATCAGCAAATTTCCGATGCCGCGCTATTTTTATCCGAGAACGCGCAGGCAATTCAACAACTCTACGGCGCACCTGCAAGCAATCAAGCTTTCGCACCCAGCAACAACCAGCAATTTCCAAATGTCGGTAATCATATTCATAATCCGAGCCATTTTGAAAGTTTCGAAAGTACCTCGCGCAGCCCTCAAGAGTTTCATGGCACACTGCCATCGTACGCGTCGGGAACGCTCAATCCTCAAGAAACTCTAGAGCAGATTCAATCTTTAGAGAAAGATCGGCTGATTATCCAGTTGCAGCAAGCTCTCGCTCAGGCTCAGACTAATCCGAGCGCGAACGCGGGAAGATACGCTCAGAATCAAGCGGGCTTTATACATAATCAGGAGCTTTTGGCCTCTATAAGCCAGCAGGTGAACTCACGTATTCCTACGACGCCGCAACCTGCAGCCTTTAGCTCTGGAAACCCCGCATTCAGTCAGTCTACTTTTCTGCCAGGAACTACGGTCAATCCTTTAGGGTTAACCATTAATTACGGTGTTCCGACCACTACGCAAACTCCGACTACAACAACGACGGTAACGACGGGTGTTCTCACCACGCAATCCCCATTGCAACCGTCCAAGGGCGATGGTGCTGCCCAAGTATCGTCGCCACAACCTGCTTCTAACCAACCCGGCTCTTCCGTGGTTGGTTCTCCCGTGGGAATCCCCGTTTACGGTGGTTTCGTACCGACTTTCATCACGGGGACCAACCTAGTACCCAGCTATGGCACTAGCGTCTTTGCGCCCGCACCCGTCAGACCCGTGCAATCCTCTGGAACGTCACCTACCCATTTCGGAATACCGATTCCCACGGAATCACCGCAGAAACCGGCATCGGAACCGGCGCCGTCAATCCCCGTGACGGTGACACCGCCACTCTCATCCGTCTCGCCATCCAATCAGCCGGGGATCGCTTTGACACCGGCGGCAATCACGCCGGTGACTTTGCCAATTCAACCGATACGACCTGTTGCTCCCCTCGCGACGCCAATACATCCGATCACCGCTCCTTTGCTACCGGCGAATCCCACGCAAGTGCACCCGGAGCAAATCACCCCTGTAACGTCCAGCGTGCAGCACACGTATGGCGTGCAGACCGCATTGATCAACCCCTCCGTTCTGTACAAACCGGTTAAAGCGGTCTATCCATTGTACTATTATCCCGCGAACATCGCTTACCAGCTGCAGAAGCCCTCTTCGCCGAGTTATCCGTGGAATTACGCGCCTTCGTACACGACGCAGACCGGACCAGCGAAAATATGGAAATGAGGCGTTCTTATTCCACGTAAACGAATCGCAAATCGATCTGCGGTACCTGACTGTTCATCCACATGGAAAAGAGAGAGGGAGAGAGTATGGTGTCGAAGAAGAAAGTATGGTATGAGAGTCACTATCGCAGTCGTACAATTTTGATGTGCTAATGACATCGCGCCGCATCGCCTGCTAAACTTTTTCACGTAAACGATTTCATTTTTCTTCTTTCAATTTCAAGAGAGTTTCAAGCTGACAAAAAGAATTGCGCTCCGTAGATCAACCGTTTCAATAGGAAGTTGTAATTGTTTCTGTTGACATAGAAGAACTCTTGCACGTTAAATTGCATTGTTATAGAAGTTCAAGCTCAAATAAGAAATATAGAAAATATGAAGAGAAATACATTTTTTAATGAAGAATTTTTGTAGATAAAAAAACATTCTTTTTGTTGGAAAGATTGTGATTTAAGTTTTACTTGAGTTATTTTTATATTGCACTACTAATTTATTTACTTCTTTTTAATTATAATTATTTAATTTAAATTTATAGCTTATATTTATCTTTATATTAAAATTTTATAAATTTGAACAAAATTTTAATCTATTATGAAAAATTAAATTGTGATAAGTTTTACATAATTGTAATATACTTCATTTTCAACTTGTCAATTTGTAACTTTTTACAGTTGTTATGAACAATTATGTATTGAAATTTAATACGCTTTATTATCTATAGAAATTGGAATAATGTACGTAAATCTAATCCATCATAGACCATTTATGATATAAGTTTTAGAAAATGAGGACAGTATTTCTCCTCTTTCTCTGGTTTATTCTAAAGCGCATATACTTAGCACGCGCATGTAAGTTTCGCTCTTGAAGAATTACTACGATGATTGTTTGATACACACCTCATACCGTGCATCCGCTGCACCATCTGTCATTGCGCATCCGCTGATTTCGAAATTCATCGTCGAGAAAGTGACATTATGCAGGTGACAATTAGCGCAGTTGTCTCATTGGAACTAGAATATCGTGATCAGAATGTTAAATGAGTGTTTCTAAACGTCGATTGTCGTTTCCAATTGTTGATCACCTAAAAGAAACATTTTTATTTATACGAATATTTAAAGATATGATTTATAAAATAGGAATTTTGCTGATTTTTTAATCAAAATATTCCTTTTATAGATTCTTTTATTTTTAGGATTATATATGTCTGTATATATACTTAATATGATATATGAGTAAATTACCTATGAATTATTAATATAAACAATGCGTTTTGTCGCTCTGAAACAAATTTATTTTTAAGTGTATGTAAATACAAGTGTTCTATTTATTTTATCAAATAAATATTTTTTTACTTTTAGAAGTACAGTTTCTTTTTCGATGTCTTCTTATTTTTAATTGGATTTTTATTATGCTTAATCTGCTTTTAGACAAAGAATAAATCATGGAACAGCTTAATTTTAAGTAGCGATATTAAGATATTGAATAGAAGCAAGATACAAGCATAACATTAATTTCATCGCAAGCAAACGTATGAGTTATGTGACACATCTCGCATCAACGCGATGGAAAGCTGAGCCGAGGAAATGAATTACCATTACTTCCGGCTCCAAACGGACCTACATGAAGAAACTCTCACCCGTGTAATCGTGACCATCGCGCAAGATCCCTATCGCTATACCATTCGATTTTGACCTCGAAAGTCATTCGATAATTCCAGCCACGGTCAACGCAGTTATTCAAGTAATTCTAAACATGCATAACATATCGCTGTTCACAGGTGTAGGATTCCTAAGACGATTTTATAACACGTGTACCTGTTCTCTAGGAGAAGAAAGAAACGTGACGCTGCTGTCAGGCCCGTTTCGTCGATCAAGATCTATAGATCAAGATCCATAATTGAACAGAGGCGCTTCGTATTCATTCAACAACGATGTTTGCTGTTACTTTGTAATCACGTAGTTTGCGACGTACTTCCTTTTTCTGTTCGATATTCGCATTGCTTTTCTAACCGAGATTTTGAAAGTCGGAATAAAAAGATGAAAATGAATAATTTCCTATTGTTAATTTATCTTTGCGATATAGAAATGAAATATATTTTTCGGAAGGAGAATTAAATTTATAAACCTCAGCGAAAGTTGAAGTTATCGGATCGATCTGAAGATGAACATCATATAGAAAATATTACAGCAGACAAAGTAAAATTTAAATCGGTATGTCTCTGCAGATTAATTTTATTTAAATGGTGTATATCAGATCTGTTGTCAGATTTGTTGAATTTCATTTGTATCAATATTTAATAATCAATATTTTTGAAAGCAGTTTCTAAGAAAAATACAACTAAATTGTACCGTTATGAAAACCAGATTTTCATGTAGTTTTCCTAAATATAGTTGCAGACGGTATTTGAAGGGTCAAAGCATGTTTCTAAGAATTACGGAATCTCGAAAGCGTAGCTTGACCTGTGAGAGTCCAGCAGGTTTGTTGCATTAAACCTGTTGTCAACTCACTTTCCGCAAGTGACCCATATTCCCTTCTCCGTCCGGTTTGCGTTCTTTTCTTCTGGTAGTAATTTTTATTATTCTTATTCTGAATTCATGTAGATTCTGTCTGAATGTACATTTTTCTATACATTATTTATGAAATTCTGCATCCGTTGCCAGATATGTAAATTGTTCTTGTTAAACGCAAACTCAGCAATCTTTTTTTGTCTAATTTTCAATAATTATAAACGAATAAACGCTAACCATTTAAAATAGTCGAATAGCGAGAAAGCGAGAGTTCCGGAAATGATCAGACCAGCAAGAAAGACGGGGAAGTATGATATAAACACATATAAACATATAAAAAAGGGGGAAAATAGTGTGAAAAAGTCAATAATTGGGAAAGTAAAAGAATTGACGAATCTGAAAAAGGGAAGATAAATATTGAATGACAAGAAAGTATAAGATGAAAGTATTGCTAGGGAATAGATTTAAAGAATCATACGTTATAATGAAAGAGTTAAGTTGAGAGTATGTGAAAAGGAGTTGTGACGATGCAAGAAAATCGTAATAATAAAATGAGAAAGCCCGAAAAGCGAGAGCGATTTAATATTTTTTATACGAAATTATACTTGAAGCAGGCTAATGATATATCGATATTGGCACATTTCTAAGCAGTCAGCATTACATTTCTGATTAGTATTTAGATACTAAAATTAATTTTTTTAGAAACCTAATTTTTTAAATATTATTTGAAATATATAATATTAATTTATTCACATTAGTTTTTATTTAAAAAATAATTCTATTTCAGTAGTTTTAAAACTGCAACTATAATTTAATTATTTTCTTATTATCGAAATAAGCTTAAGATTTTATATAAAAGAACTTCGTTTTAAAATAAATTAAATTAAAATTTGAGTTGAAATAAAACTTATAAATTATCAAATTATCATATTCTAAATGTAAATTAAATGAAGCTATGAAACGTAAAAATATTTTATGTATTATATATTTATTTAAATTAAATTTAAGCAAAAAGAACTGAATATTAATCTAATAAAATTTAAATATCTCTTGCTCGTCAGAAAGAGTGATATTTATAGAACATTGTTTTCAGTATTTTGTTTAGTGCGTGTCTTGCGCAATAATACATGTGCACTATACTTAGCTCTTATCAAGATGTTAACGGCGTGACAGGTATATTATTCGCAGCACACGAAAGCTGCGATAATATCTTACGTTTGAGGATACTCTGTTACGCATAAGATATACACTGCATGTAAGTATATATAAAGAAACTATTTCTTGATGCAGCTACGTCGCAAGTATATATGATTACTGATTATCTGATACTGATTGAGATATTCAAAACAAATGTTAATAAGCCTGTATAAATACATAGAGAGAGAAAGTATGTGTGAGTGTGTGAGAAAGGAAGAGAGTAACATAAATTAGTTTAAATTAGCATTTTAACAAATAAGATACTAAACTAATATTTACATTGGTCTTATAGTATAAAAATATCGCATAAGTTTTCATCATATTTATATAAAAATAATGACTGAAGCGCTACGTCATCTCGTTTATACATGTTTTCCTTATCTTCTATCTCTTCCCGGAACTAAAGAGCAGAATTGCTTCAAAAATTTCCTTAATTCGTTGCCTTTTAAATTAGATGATGGCCGCAAGCAACAGTCTCTTTCTTCATCTAGCTAGTGAAAGTAAAACGATCGAATGTTTTCAGATGCTATAATTTAGCATGTTGGAAGGAGTTAGATGAATTGCTATGAGAGAATGGTCACAATTACCTTCTTACAACTGCGTTCATTCCAATATGTACGAATATATGTTTATCACATAAAGATGCAAAAATGAGAAATAAGATGAGGTAACTTTTTCATTCATTCTTACACGTGCATTTTACTTTCAAACATCGATCGGCTTTCAATGTCTGGTTTCCCATCTTTTTCTACACGCGTGGTCCGAGAATTCTTGTCAGCGAATGTTAATGTCTTTGCTACTACATACTACACTTTATGTAAGAGGCTAATGAACAAAGCTAAGGTGTAAACATACTACTTAATGCTGAGAGATATTTATTTTGCAATTGATATTAAGAGTAAAATCTCGTCTTCTTAAATTTAAAACGCAAGAAATCTCTTAAATATTAAAAAAGAATATTTGTACACAACAAGAAATAAAAAACTGTGAAACATTGTTTCATAAATATTTTGCTTTGTTTTATGTGAAATGCGTATCTTGAATTTATCTTTGTGGTCAATAGTGGAATCAATAAATCCATACTGTTTTTATTGTATCCGTTACTTAGATACGCCTGGTTTTTATACTTGGCGGTATAAAATAATTTAGTTAAAATAGTCATTAGATAAGCAACGCACGAGATTTAAAATTTAGTAAAAAAATTTATATGTTATAAATAAATAAAATAAACATAAGTGCGAAGACGCTCTTTTCACGCACCGATTCGTTTAACGGCGCTTTTTATTAGTGTTAAGGTGAGCTGTGAAAATGGGAGTAATAAATATTAAGAAAGCATGTCTAGGTAGGCATGTCCGGTAAACTTCAACGCATGGAAACAATGTTTCATTATTAAGCATTAAATATTCGGAAGCGTACATAGCATTTGCAGACAAGCTTGAATTTACCGGAAAAGTAAATTTCCAACAATACATAATCATACATGATATAATTACTTTACCTTTCTCTCGCATGTACTTAATAAAATGATAATTATTAATATTTATTAGCACCTGCTTCGATGCTCTTATAGATATTGCAATCTAACTTATGACATATGATATGATTTCCTTGTTAAAGCCCAATAAACATCTAGCAAATCCAAGTCATTGAGTAAAAAATAGTGAAGTAGATATTTTATTGTGATTCGGACAAACAATCGCGTTTTCTCTCGATGCTTGACAAGACAGTGCTTCCGCCTGTCTATAGTAATTAATCTCGTTCAAGAATAAAATAAAATAAAATATCTAAAAAAGAGTGAAATGGCGTAGCTCGATACCACAGTAACTCTTATCGCATTGAAATTAGATCGTTGATTCGACGAGAGTAAGTATAATAATTAAAAACGGCTTAGCGTGTCCTATGCTTCCGAGATTTTCTTAATTCTCTTAAGAATATTGAATGATATTGCTTATGGAGATAGCCAAGGGAAAAAACAAAAGAATCTTTAAATGAAAATATATCCCGGACAGAAAGTACTAAAGATAACTTTATACACTTTCTCAAGACGCCTTACAAGCAATAGGAAATGAGGGGACAAAATTTTGATTTATGCATTATGATCTATATTGGGAAGTGATAAATCATTTCGATGGGAGTCTTTTGTGCATTCACGCGACTAACATTGTTCATCGGGGAGTTTCGTGTTGCCTTCTTTTTTTCTTTCCTCAGATTGTTAACTTCTTTATGAGGATGCCATTTCTTCCGTTTGGTCGTGGAAAAAAACTACGATCGATAAAAATCGATCCGCTTTTCACTTGCAGGTGGGATTTGATTTACAAAACACATGCGAGTATTCGTTGTGCGTGTTGTACTTGACTACTATCTGTGCCAAACCGGCGACGACGCGACGTTGCGCCCGACATATCAGCGCGGGGAGACTTACCTTCACCTAGACCTTTCTTTCACCGTGCGAGAGGGGATCCATGTATAAAGGCTTTCTTCTTGCTAGCAATGGCATCAGACACCATATCATTCAACTACTCGGCTGCCACCAAGTTACGAGAGATAGTTACGAGAGCAATCCTATTCCGGCAAGCATGTGGTTCATTGTAAGTATCATCTTTCCATAAAGTGCTTGTGAAAATTAGTAATTTTAATTCCGATGTATACTGATCATTTTTGTACTTCTGTGTGTGTGTCTTGTGCAAATTACATGAAATTATTTTATTTTCATAGAAAGTGTGATAGTTACATAGTTAATAGTTTTGAACAAGGTGTAATAAAGGTGACACTTCAGACAATTGTTAAAAATTACAGTTATTTCACGTTGAAGATTGCAAGCTCGCAACAAATAAAATTTTGGAAACATTAAAGAATAATTTATATAAATATATTATAAAAATGTATTATAACATTTAAATATAATAATAACCTAAGAAACAAAATTTTTGTTAAGATTCTGTTTAATAAAAGTATATATATATATATATATATATATATATATATAAGAAAGAAGAGAGAGCAGAGAGAGAAAGAAAGAGAGAAAGAGGAAAAGAGAAGTAGTACATTATTAATTGCTTATTATTTAAATACTTTTTAAATGTTACCAGTAAATATCATAGACTAATTTTATAATAATTTTATTTATCTAATTTAATTAGTGAGATCTAGCGCATAATATATTATGTAAATTTTATATTTATTACGCCTCTTTTAATTGAGCACCGATTATTATTTGATCATAAAAAGTAATACTAATTAAAGTTGGAATTACATGTGAAATTGAATTTATATTTTTAAATTGAATAATTTAATTATTATTATTAATGTTTATGAATATCTTACAGATTTATAAGAAATTGCATAAAATTATAATAAACTCGATTATCATCACAATTATTCATCTTACATGTACAGCATTTTATAATCTGAGATTTATATTTTAATATTTTTTGTCAAATATATTTATTTAAATCAAATAGACTTATTAAAATTAAAATTTTGATTTTATATTTATATTTAATATGTTACTTTATATAAAAGTATTTTTATAAAATTATAATATTTTATAATAAAATTTATTTATAATAGTTATATATTTTATATTATGTTCTATATACAATTATTTAATATTATTTAATTGTTATAACAAATATAATTATATATACATATAGTTTCCTGCTTTTGTCTTTCTAATTATTAATAAGTTATTGTCTCTAATCGGATTTTGTCTAATTATTGAAAGTTAATATACGTTACACAGTATTTTATTTTACGTTAAATTCGTAGTTTATATTAATTATATTATATTAATTATATCTATTCAGTTTAAACAATGATCAAATAAAATCTCACGAATATTAACTAAATAATGCTAATTACTGCAATATCGTAATTACTGCGATTGATCAATCAATTAATATGCTATACCGACCACTTGCTTTTTGTTCAATTAATACGATTATTTATAACTTAAACAATGTACTTATAATTCGGGTAATTGGCTTTGTATTCCACTTTCACGCAAACCGATCAAGCTCATGAAAGTAGGCCACCCTAGAAAGTGATGTGCGAAGAAGTACGATAATACTGATCATGCTTGCGTAGGTGTTTCTGGCGGCTTTCGTTTGTGGGGTCTGCTGCAATGAAAATCTGCCGACTCAACTGATATTGCACTCAAAGGACAAGCGTGGCGTCAACGATCACCCACTGATTTTCCCCTCAGAATCTTCCTCCTCATATTCAGCTCCGGGAGCTCATGGGAGCTTGAGTTCCGGTTATAGTCTAGGTGGATCGTCCGGTGGTTTCTCGTTGAGTCATGCGGGCCCCGCTATTGGCCATGGAATCGGATATTCCTTAGCGTCATCTGGTGGTCTTGGTTTTGGATCCGGATATCAATCACCTGGACTGGGCTCCCATGGTTCCCTAAATCATCAGAGTATTTCTACCTTGGGCGGACACTCGGCTCAGAGCACCTATTCCGTGCCCGCCATAACGAGCGCTCATCTGGGAAGTGGAGGAAGTGGTAACGGTCTCTTTACTCCAGCGAAAACCGGTCCTGTTACTTTCGGAATTCACGGTGGCGGCAGTGGTGCAAGCACTTCCGGATCCGGTTCATACAGCGCGCCGAGTTACACTTCCGGCAGTCACGGACTCTCGGCTTATGGCAACGGAGGGGCATCCAGCGCTGGTCTTCAAATAGTTTTGGGATCGCAACATGGACTACCATTAGGCTCTTCGGGCTCTTCATCGAGTTACAGTCTTCCCATTCATTCCTCGAGTCCTTCGCACTCCGTGACGGGCGGCCTAGTTATCGCCAGCGGTTCACACAGCGGTTCACAAGGTGGTTCCTCCAGTTATAGTCTTCCGGCATCTTCCCACAGCATTTCTACCCTTGGAAGCTCTTCGGGTGGCCACGGATCATCCTCCTATACTCTTCCGGTTAGCTCTGGATCTCACGGAATCTCCGCGTTGTCTAGTACATCGTCCAGTTATCCCGGTTCCTCAGGATCCTATGGCTCCTCCAGCAGTCACTCCAGCGGATTCTCGTCTGGCAGTTCCAGCTACGAGCTACCAACTTCGGGATCTTACTCAAGCTCGGGATCATCCAATAGCATCTCATATATGAATTATGTGCCGTCTCATTCCTCCGGCAGCAGTTCCAGCTATTCCAGTCCCATTACCTACGCGGCTCCAAGCAGCAGTCACGTGGATTCTTCCAGTTACTCTGGCGCTGATAGCGGCTACTCCCTGAGCTCAAATCACGCTGGTTCCAGTTCCAGCCCCATTGTGAGTTACGCCGGAAGTTCCAGCTACACGCCCATGTATTACAGTCCGTCCGGCTCTCAGGGGGCCTCGGATTCGCACGGAGCTTACGCCAGCGTGAGTCCGAGATATCTCGGATATGCTCCCGGGGCGAAATTGTACGACAGTAGGAATTTAGGAAGCGCGAAGTACGATACGATCTCCTATTCGGTTCCAAACGGGAAATATTAATTTATATATTATAGATTTGTTTATATCGTACGCATTGCCAGATTTCGATGACAGCATAGGAGTTTAATTATGAAATCCATATATGGATCTCGACAAAAGAATAATTGAATAATTAATCTATTATAAATCTGAGATTGAATTATCCTATGCTGATTCGATCTTGCCATGTAAAATAGCAATAATTTTTTTCAAGTAGAAGATCATGTATGTTGTTGAGAGTAAATGTAGAGGAATATTTATATTTAAATTTTTTACTGAACAATTCTAGAAACAAAGGTCTCTATGTAATTGTTATCTGTATTTACCTAATGTGAACCGTTATCTGTATTTATATCATCGACAAATATTATAGAATATGTCTTTTTGTTGTAATCCTTTGTATCACTGATAATCGATTTTGTTGTGATTTTTTTTGTTGTCTAGTTTTATATCTTTTTTTTGTAATAAATGAGTTGATCTTCCAATGCACATCAGAAAACTCAATTTAAATTTTCAAATCTGATTGCTTATGATGCTGACTGTATCGATGATTAATGATCGGTATAATCAATTTAGAACGGATCGTAAAACTCGGATAGCGTAAGAGTTTAAAATCTAAGTTTCTCAAATCGCGAAGAATATTGCCGTTAAATTGCGGCCATATGATATACATTGTGAGACATGCGTAAGATGCCCCATGCTGTTTCACTTTTTAATAAAGATTAAACACGCACGCTGATCAAGATATTTAAAGAGATCAAAAAAAGGGAAAGTATATCGCGAAATCGACAAGTAAGATGTGATTCCGATCCTTAATAATCGCAATTAATTATTATAATTAAATATATGTGGAGCGCTGGCTTACTTTCGCGTTTTTATTTACAAATCTATCTTCGTGAATAGTGGGTAATTGATTCGACACGCGCGATGGAAGGTAATATCGCGTGTCAAAAGACACTTGAATGGATCCTGATGTGGGCTTTGTTATCCGTCTGGATAATTGATGTATCTGGCAACGACCAGTTCTGCTTCTTCTGCTTTTACTTGTGGCGCTACTGTGAAAGTTATTGACCGCACGAACGGCAAACGGTATACTCGAGATATAATAATAAAAGCACAAGCCCGCCCAACGGACAGAAACGGGATCACTTTTACTACAAGGCTGGAACGGGTCGGGGGGTGAATAGAGAATACCTTTCTAAACCTTTATTTTATTTGGGAAAGTCATTGCCGACTCCGACGGAAATGTTGACTGGCCAGATTTATTGGACGGGTTTAATATAACGTACGAAGAAATTAATAATATATATCGCTTCTTTTCCCTTTGATGTTATACATATAAAGAACAAGTTATGTCAGCCTTAAAAGCGAAATTATGTAACATGATAATATAATGTACAATAAGTATATCATATATCCTATTAGTTCTTTTATTATTTTTTATTTTTTATCGAATATTCAAGCTTAATATATCCCTCAACTAAAAATAATAAATTACAAATATACATTTATTAATATTATTTTTGTCCAAGATTAATAAGATAATTATTTATTAAATATTTGTATATTTTATAAATTAGAAATTAATTAATCGTTACATTTTTTTATTTTATATATATTATTCCAATATGATTATACATATAAAAGGTCATTATACGTATAAAACGATATGTAATAAATAATATTGCATTAAATTATATCAAATGTATCTTTGGATACGTTACATATGCATGGTTTAATTTAAACTTTGTATAATATAATTTTACATCAAATGTCAGCTTTCATTATCATCGTACAACAGACCGATTGGCTGATTTTAGTAATCAACTTTCAAAGTACACGATCAGAGAGACACGCAGTCGCCCACGTAAGAAAGCGACTTTAATTATTCATTTCGATCGCGCGTACCTGACCCAATTTCTGTGGCTTGTACTTAAACACGTGTGTATGAACGCACTCACGCACGCGAGTGCCGCACGGCATGACACGACACGACACGACACAGCGTAAGAGAATCGCACGCATGGCTCCGATCTTAGTCCTCAGATGTATAATCCAGTTGTACGATGCCTCACGCAGAGATCGCTCAAGAGACCCAACCGATGTATTTTCGCGAATATAGAAAAACGCAAGGTTTCACTATTTTCTGACTGGTTTTGCGAGAGGCATGCCTTCGCTCGCGCTTCTCTCACTCTCACGCCCGGCACGGCGAGAGCGGGAAAAGTTCGCTCTTACTCTTCGCGAAGGCGTTCCCTCGGGTGGATCCCGTCACGCATCTCTGACTTGATCTCAGACTTGCGAGTGTCCATCCTGTCAGGTGACTCTGGGAGATTCACTTTCGTGACCGTACCGACCTGTAACACGGGTCTTTTTTTGTCCAGTGAAGTAATTGGACACGGAATTTGTGAATATGTACGAGAGGTAATGTAACAGTTAATTATAAAAGAACATTTCTGTTGCAAGAAAATTTCAGGCTCGGGATTGATGGAATTTGTAGTATAGATATAATAATAGAATTCAGAGTTTGATGATATATAACGTAAAATAAAAAATTGATTTAAAAAATGCTAATTTTAAAATGTTATTTGATAAAATATTAATCTATATATGCAAAAATTTTATAAATATGTAAATGTTTGTAAATTATTTAAAAAGTTAAATGGAATATGCTAATACTATGTTTAGCTTATACTTATATCATTTGAAACTCTGAAACTTTATCATTTCTGTATTTGATAAATAAATAAACCGCGTTTTATTTATAAAAATATATTCTGATATACATCTGATGTACACGTACACACACACACACACACACACACACACACACACACACACACACACACACACACACACACACACACACACACACACACACACACACACACACACACACACACACACACACACACACACGCACGCACGCACACGCGCGCGCGTCGTACACAAATGAAAAGGTTCAGCAAGTACATGGTTATTGCATGTTATGCTGCTGCTTTATTGAAAATAAGAGAAATCGATAACGACGGTAAGAATTATGTTTTTCCGGGTATCTTCGCAATGCAATCGTCCATATCAAATGTCGTTATCATAAATTATCTGTCCGATCAGAATATTTGCTGATGGGAGACAGCGCACCGGAGAAAGTAAAGTAAATCGACGTTTTCAAAGATACGAGAACGTCGCCGCGAAAGGCGTTGTTCGAGCGAGATTGGAAAGATCCTTCTCCGGAGGATGCCGGAGGGCGCTCCACTTCCTGGATCTTTCGATTCTGAATGGCCATCGCTTGTTCACTGGCCGATTATTTTTAGCAAATTTAATTCGTCACTTTCGCGAAAATCACGCATTGCTAGATACATTTCGTAGATCCTTTTTCACATATTGTCAACGCTAATAATTATTGTCTCTTTTAGAAGTAAACGAAGAACCATCACAGAATCATGTTCGTTTCCTGATAATTTTCTTCCGGCGGAGAACATGTGATGGTCCGATAGATATCACATTACCGGGAGATGACGAATTGGCCAGTCACATTCGCCATTTGACGACGATCGAACGGCATTCTATATATTTTCACTAAGCCATCGGGGCGTGCACTATCACTTCCAGTTGCCTACATATAAGAGCAGAGAAATGTAAAACTAGTTTCCGCGATTTTTCCGACAGCCGAGTATAAAGGAGAAATTCAATGTCGGCCGATGTGTCATTAAAGGTGGAACCGTCACGTTGGTCTGATCTACGAAATTGCTAGTGCGGACGAGGTGCCGGATGAGATAGCGATTACGACGGAAGAGCACACCTTCGTAGCTATCCGACGGCAATAGGTGGCCTGTGGAAATGAAGCGGTTGGTTAGTATCAATTAACAAGGTTTTTTTATTATTATTATTATTATTAATTAAATGAAAAAGTTCGGTTCTTTATTTAATTTTATTGTATTTGGAATTAAATTTGTGATGTCCGGTTTTTTTACACGGTCCAATTATACGAACATCTTAAGGACATCTTAAGGAATTTTATCATTTTTACAACAATTTCAACAGTTTAAATCTCACATGAGAAGTTTTAATCAAGCATAACTTTTATTTTTCTGTTCTACAAATTTTATTCATACGTATATATGTGTTAATAATATTAAAGAATATATTTTGAATTATTTCTTAACTCTTTCTTAACAAAATAGAACTTGCTTATGAATATTATATTAATTTATCAGTATCAATTTTATAATGGCTACATTATTATTAAAATTAAGATAAATTTTATGAAATATTTATATATTTATGACGACATATTTTCTTATTAGTACAAAAAATGAAAATATACATAATGTATTTTTTAAGCAATACGATTATTTAAAATTATTTCTTTTATTTTAATCCAGATACAAAAAATCTAATTACAGATACTGCTCTGCTTGCTACCACCAGCAATTTTCGCCCGGCCACAAACAAAGGATCCTAATAACGAGCCATTTCTACCAATACACCCCGTCTACCCTAAGCTAATCAAGCGAGGTGCTGAGCAAGAAGTAAATTCTCAATTAACGTCGGAGTTATACGCGCCAAAAGTTGACGCCAAGGATACCTACACCTCTAGCTATAACAACAATTACCAAAGAGATTCTTATTATCCCGATTATGATCCGTACTCCACAAATAGCACACCTTCAATCGTCTATCCCTCGCCCTATTACAATCCCGGCGAGACGTATGTCTACGCTAACTCACCGTATCACATTTATAATTCATATCCCGCTTCGTACGCGGTGAATCCGACGTCATATTCAGTGCCATCATATCCAAACTATTACTACCAACCACCCTTCTATTACCCTCATTATTTTAATCACGCTCTATTCCCGCCACCGCCACCACCACCGTCATCAGGCGTCGACTATCAGACGTCGCAAATTCCGGTCGAAGCGGAGGATGACAGGCAGGACACGAATAAAAAGGGTGAGAGATCGAAGGAGAACGAGACGAGCCAAGACGCGCCAAGTCAGTTTGTGGATGATGGAAACTACATAAACGGAAATTCACGGGATCTCGATGTGCAGTCCAGTACGTACAAAGTGGGCAATCCATACAATCAATTCGCACAGGACGCACAAGCGAAAAATCTGCCAATTCCCTTGCCCAGAACGACGTATAGGATCATCAATGTTGTAGGACAGCCAGTCAATCCGGATTATGCACTGCCTGTTGCATATATCAAGCCTCAGCATATTGAGCAGATGACGAGCCAAGCGTTGGTCGATTTGTTGCAAAATGCGCGGCCACAAGTCGGTCGCTCTTATGAAAACAGTAGAGATACCTTGAACAGTGCCAACGATGGATCATATGAGAGTCAGAATACTTACAATCCAACAAACGCGCCATCATATGCACCTGTTCCAGGTGCGAGAGGCAAAACCGGTGCCACTTATGCGATCGATTCCGCTGGAACCAAAGTCAGTGGAGACCGTACGAAACAACAGAGCTCGTCGTCATCTCAGAGAACTCCGAGTAAGAATACAAAGAACGTTTATTATATCCGAAAGCCAACTTCACGAAATAACTCCCAAGCTTCGTACGCAGCATCCGAAAGCCGCAGCAATAATCGCGATCGCGTGAGCAATGGTCGACCTACAGATCAAATTGACAAATACAACAGTTACGATCTATCACAGAACTACGGCACTTACAGTCAGCCCGGCAATAAGCAAGAGCAGAATTATGAGACTTATCAGGACCAATCAAGCTCTTATCAGACTAAGGGTTTTACTGCCACATCTCAGACACCTCAATCACACAGTTATCAGTATTCCCCTTACGAATCGGGTCAGGTGCAGCAGTCGCAACAAGATGAGATTAATACGGACAACGGCAATTTCGGAACGAAACAATATAAGGGATAAAATATGACAAATGCGATAAAATCAAATCGGTGTTGTTATAAGATTATTATTGTTTTCTTGTTGAATGACGCGGCTCCTTTCAGTCCTAGCGAGTTAAATAATTAACTATACAAAATATCTTGGATATTATAAACTTTTTTATATTTATTAATATATTAATTATTTACGAAAAATGTTAGGTTAAACATAATTTGCTGTTATTATTTTCATAAATTCCAACTCCAAGTAAAAATACATAGTTTTTAATTATAAGACTATAAAATAAATCCCATCTAAAATTGAAGCTCTAATAACATTTATCTGCCTTAGTGTTCTATTTAATCTATAATCTATAATCTATAATCTATAATCTATTTTTCTAATTTAATACATCTTATAGATAGATGATTGTCCAAATATTTTTATATAAATAATTTTAAATCTGTACAATTGTAATTAAAGTGCTCAAATCTTTAAAGTGTTTAAAATTATGAAGTTTAAAACTTAAGGTTAATTTATAATAAAAACAGTAAAAATATTGCACAAAGATATTAAATATTAAAATATTTTTGACAAGATTAGTTTGGAATTAAATTTTGTTTATTACATTTAATTAAAATTGATATTCCTTCAATTTTAATTAAAGAATAACAAGCAGAATTGAACATATTCCTTCTCTCTTTGTAAATTTTGCATATAAAATTTTTGTATTTATATGCCACATTATTTTACACCTAATGAAAAGATTACGAGCTTTAATTCAATACATTTTCTTTCTTCATGTTGCAAAATAGATGAAACGCACTTATGCTTTTCATGCTTACACTTTCACTCTTTGGTTCATCAAATCAAATGAAATCTCTTAAATTGATACTGTCCGTCTAATATTATTAATTGTTACGAGTTAACAAATAAAAACTTGACAACCAGACAGATATCAATGTTACGAATGATTTACTTTCGCATTATCCGTTAAATGAAAGGCTTGCTCACGGGTGTACAAGATTGCTACTTAATACAATACAATTATACTTATATCATCTCTCCGATCCACTTGGTACTTTCTTCTTTTGAACAAGCGGCAAATAGCGCTTTTATATTGCGAAAATGTGGCCGGGAGATGTTAATCTTTCGAGGTTTATGAGACGCGAAAAGGGAAAAGAATGCAAAGAGCCAGTTTTTGTCTTGCAAAAGCGGTGCTTTAGCATTGCGTGACGAGCCTTTTTTTGAAAAGTCGCGATATCGCATTGGGCTTGATTTGCTATGAGCTAACAATGCAAATCTATTTATCCTCCTTGCGACCATAGGCATTGATTTTAAATACGCATTTTGTAGTCACTAATATAATAAACGATCTTTTATGCTTCTTTTGACGTTTGCACTCCTTTCTCTCCGGTGTAAGTGCCGCAAACCGGTTTCCCTTTTCTGTTTATTTTTATACTTTACTTTCGTTCGATGAGCGACAGCTTCCTGTTTCTTTCTGCTGTGCTTTTTCCAACGTAATTATACACACGTCAGCATAGATTGCGATGTACGTGAAAATCTAGCGGATTAAGATGCGGAAATTTATACAGACGAGGCAATTTTAAGGGTTGACTGTATCATTAAGATAGTATGCTCTATGCGTCAGATAATTAATACATACACAATAGGAAGCTTTTATTTCCTACTTCCATGTGTAATCCATTTTGTAGTCATTGATAACTTTTATCGAAAATGAAGGATTATTTACATTAACATGTCAAATTTGTTTAGTTTTTTAAACATTTGTATTTAAAGTTGATTTAGAATTTATAATTTCCATTTGACTTTAAAATGTAATTTATAATTTAAGATATGCATTTTGCATTTTTTTAAAAGTATATATTTATATTTTAAAATATATTTTATATGTTATTTGCATTATACGACATACAATTATAAAAAAGTTTTATATTCTAAAGTTTAATACAAATTGTATATCAATTATATATTTATTAAAAAAAGAGTAAATTTAAAACCATGTAAAATTATATTGTCTTTACTACAAAGAGTTTTAAATAATTGTAAAAAGTTAACGTTTTATATAAATTGCGCGCCGCAATGATGGACTATGTGATTGCTTTATTTTAAAATTTTACAAGATATTGGACGGCGTATCGCATTTCTCCGTCGGCAATGAATCCTTCATCTCTACTAATTAATCTTGCGCTTGCTAATTAATTTTGTTATGATCTTTCCGCACATCGCTACTCGGCGCGTCCTTTTAGAGCAGCGCTAATTAAACATTCAACATTTTTCACGCGGTATCATCTTAACGCGAGTAATATAGAATTGTACAAGTCACGGACATACGGAAGCGGAAGAGATCCGGATCACGGTAATGTCCGGTTGATCGACCGGACGAGGCGTGTCGACCGTGATGGAAAGCGGAAGTAAGACCTTGCGATTGGTTCGCTTGAATCAGGTCTGACGCGTCGATAGACCGTGTGAATGAGATGAGGAACGTTCACTTAGTGTTTCCTTTCAAGTTTCATGAAAGTACCACCACACATATTCGTTCATCCATATCTTTCTTAAAAAAAAATATAACCGATATGAAGATTTGTAAAATAAATTTTATTTTGAAATAAAGCTGGATAAAGATTATGAGGTATTTCATCGAAAATAATACTTCATTGCGAATTTAAGGTCAGAGAACTTGAATTTCTTTCTTATCTCGTGTAATAGCCGGTTGTAGGATAGAATTAATATATTTGACAGAATTGCGTATTTCATGCGAAGAATGCAATAAGTCTTGATGCCAATCTTGGCGCGGATATTGCTGTAAGTGAGTGAGAGCTCCGAGTGGCGCGCCATTTTACTTTATTTTGTTCATTCCACGCGCGCGCGCGTGCACGCTGATGATCTGAAAGAAAATCGGATGGACCAAGCCTCTGGTTACTTTCACATAGCGACTCGATCTCAATCGATAATATATACAAGGCGACCCGAAAGTTCGAGACGCATAAATGCCTCGTCTGTGTAAACGCTGAATAAACGAGGCTGTAGCTTTTGGCGACGGTGGTAGAAAGTCTCGTGCACACGCGTGTGTGGACACATTTTATTGTAACTGTAGCGTTATTTTCTCTTTATGTTTATGAGCCGTCACGCGTCGTGCGAGCGACAGCCAAATTATATCCCGCTAGGCAACGTTACATCGAAAAAAAATGTTATAATATTTGAATTAATTTATTTAGAAAATACATGAGAGAACTTTACTCTTTATTTGGCATTCTTCTGCAATTGTGCGCTGCTTGCTCTTTCCTTGACTACAGCGAATGAATCGCATGCAATGCAATGTTTATTTTTGTTGCATTTTTTATTCGTGCTAGATTTATCGTGTTTTCTCTTCTTTAAGATAATTATCGCAATATCGTATCATTGTTAAGTAAATTCAAGATTAATATTAAAATTCTGATTGTATGTAGAGTAACTTCAAATTATATTGGGTATCTTTTACTCTCTAGAAAGTATATGTATATATATATTATATAACAATTATGTAAAAAATAATCTAAAAAGTAAAAATTATTTATCGTTCGTTTTTAGAAATCAAAAAAAAAGAAATAAGCTTTATCTTTTATTTTACTTTCTATAAATTTCCAACAGTAATAAAAATAATTAGTGATAGGTAATTTAGTTAATTGCAGAATCCTCAAGAGACTGTCAGAAAGAAGAAAAAATATAGAAAAGCATACTTCATTAATTAACGATAGCATTTTCTAATATACCGATATCTACCGATTTCCCACATACATTTTATGAGAAAGATATATATGCAAATAACGAACGTTACTTGCAAATGATGATAGTATAATTGATCAAGTGAATTTCGAAAGCGAAGTGATCAACCTTAGTGAACATAAAAAATTTAACAGATCGCGCAAACGGACGGATGATCGTGCAAATCCGGCTATGATCAAACTCGAGAAAGCGATCGACTGAAAAGGTCGAATATTTGCATTTTTTCTTGTCGCTTCGACGCAATATGAGAAACTGCTTCGCTCGATGCGTCGTCAATATAATCGTCTAATCCACTTTCTCGTTTTTCTCAGTCGGCCTTCCCTGTTGCGCGTGTTTTGTCGGAGGCACTGGCCTCGCGATCGTGAAAGTTTTCTAACTTCGGTTGCAGGTAATTCGTCTCAAGTGCAGCATCGATGATCGTTTGACGCAACAGCGAGCGATCAGTATATAAGATTGTAATCCACACCCATGACCATGGTAGAAAGTCCTTCTCCTCCTCCTCTTCCTCCTCCCCCTCCTTCTTCTTCTCCTCCTCTTCCTTCCCAGTCTTCCTCCTTCTCTTCCGCTTAAGCAAGTGGAATACACCTGGGAATGTCCGAGGAAAGGGTCCATCTTTGAGCGACTCGATAGCGAAACGCTTCCACTCCCACAAAGAGAGAGAGAGAGA